GGGCTTTTTTTACGTTTGCTTAGGCAGGCCGGAGTCTAACCGCTACTTTTTCAGAAATCGGTCCAGCTTGAGAACGTGGTTTTGTTGCGCTTAGCCTGCATTATGAAAAATAAGTTTCAATTTTGAGTCATCGTCAGGCTTTTTTAAAATTTGCGATAGAGTTTTGTGGATGCTTATGCACACCTAATTTTGTCATTTATTTTCTGAAAATTTAAAAAATTTTGAGTCTATCGTATAAATTCCGTAGATCAAGGTGTGTTCTATAAGTGGAAAACGTTTCAAGAAAGGGGACCTCCTCAGGGAATTTTCAAGATTTTTTAGAGTCTATGCGCTTGTTTATGCATTCCGGAGTTTAACAGTTAATTTTCCTGCAACTTGCAAAGGTAGAGGAGTCACTGTTTATCACATTTGTAGAGCAAAGTCTGTTTATTTTTTTCTTCTATGAATTTTTTCAAATTTACGTTTGTTTTTGCCGCTCGCAGTTTAACCGTTACTTTTTCAGAAGCCGGTCAATCAATCTTGAGAGTGAAGCGATGAGCTTTTGCAAAGATTTTGTTGCGCTTTGCCTGTATTATTAATTGGAAGTTTCAATTGTGAGTCATCATCAAGATATTTGAAGGGTTGGGATGGAATTTCGTGGATGTTTATGAGTACATGTTTGACATTTATTTTCTCAGAAACTAGTTAAGGTGGAAACTCACTTTTGGGTGTATTTGGCAGCGCAAAGCAGGTTTAATTTGTGGCAAAAGTTTCGGTTTTGAGCCAATCAGGCTATTTTTGAATTTTTTTAAATGTGCAAATTAAAGTTTTAACAGGCCTAATTTGTGAATATCCAGAAAAGTTGGAGTGTCACCTAGTCGTAAATTCCGAAGCGCAAGGTATGTCTTATAAGTGGAAAACGTTTCTATTTTGGATCATCCTCAGGAAGTTTTCATGAATTTTATCATTTTTAGAATTTCTGCACTTGTGCATTCATTGGTTACATGTGTGGTGGCAAGTTACGAATTGACTTTCGCATTAATTTTTTAGGGCATATTCCCTTTGGCAACTACTAAAAGTTTCGGTTCTTCATCTTCAGCCACTTTTTGAGAGAGCGTTTGATGTTTGCCGATAATTCCCTTCCTAAGTTTTACAGCTTCCACTTTCACAAAAGTTTATTTATGCGCATACTTGCTAGGTGGGCTCAGAAATGTTCGAATGAAACACAACATTCTTTCTGAGCTTTATTCTATAAATTTTAATATGTTCTATAATTCTTTAATATTTACAAAATACACACAGTAGTAGTAATAGTAGTAGTCCCAATTAGTTAATACGGTCTATAAATGCGACATTTATTAAATTCCTATCAACTAAGAAAAAATTGAACCTCCACTAAGTCGAAAACAACATTAGCGAACAGTTGACTGTGCTTTAACCAAGTGAACCGATCCAAGCCTGAGCGTGGAATTACAATAATAGCGATATAAAAATATATTGATAACACAATTTCATCATTACTTAACGTTATCATAAATTCACTATCTAAATAGGCGTTCAGAAACTATTTACACGAAAACGGACAAGTAGCGATTAACGTTTCCTTTGCACCTCTTCAGAGTTGGGCGCGTTCCTTTCAGTAAACACTGGCTTGAAGAGAGCTGGACATTCGCGCGTCTGTGCAAAGAAAACCGAGGCAGGACATGAAAAAGCCAGTTTATTACAGCGCATTGCCAATCAGGTGCCGTCAGAATTCTTGCTTCTGAACCGCAAAATGTACACAATGATATGAGACTAAGTTAACAATCATTCACCAAAACGAAATTAATTCCTGGGCGGTTTTGTGCGGTTTTCTGGCAGTGAACTTCACACCTTCGATGTTGGCTAACTATAAAGAGAATTTAGCTAGAAAACCAGCATTTAACCAAAAATCTACAGACAATATAACAATGGCGGAAACCGTAGAGCACCCACAAGGGCCTTTGAGGACTTGGCCGATTTGCAAATCGCTGGCGAAGGCCGCAATTCGCAAACAGCCAACAGGCTCACAGCCCCTCCTTCCACTATATCACTAACATAGCAATTATTATTATTATTACTATTATTAATATTATTACTAAAACGTGCAAGTTAAATGACTATCAATAACAACAAATGTAAACCCAAATGTAACATGTAAAATTGCGATTCGTAACTGAAAAACTGTTTCGTACTGCATAAACAATTGTACGCAGGTTGTATGGCAAGTCACCAGATCCCAGTAAACATGTAAATAGAATAAATGCATTAATGCCAAGACAGATCGCATACAGGCAGATTCAGAAATAGCGCGCCCAAAATACAATTACTACGTCCTAACTAAGCTCTGGGCTCTTTGCATTTTGAATCTCTCTGTATATTACCATTGCTATTATTATACAACTGAAACGTGAATCACATAGACGCACATCCACAAGATCTAGTCAAGAGTTGTGCCTGTACATTTGGAGAGGAGAGTTAGGGGGGGAGAGTCCCAGAAGGACAGTTAGTGCCCGGCTCTCCAAACAGGTCCACACGCTGTTTAATTAACAATAGAGCCTACTTAACTCTATTAGAGCAGAGTACATCGGCGTTTTGGCTTCGGTGGCATCACTGGACACAGTACGGCCCTAATCGCTTCGTCGAACACCGTTTTAAGGCCTTTCTGTGTCAGCGCCGAACATTCCAGGTACTTAACGGCGCTGATTTCTTTCGCCATCGCCAGACCCTGATAGGAAAAGAACCCATAAGAATTTGTTCCAAAAAAACCTCTTCATCAGAATCAATTGAGTTAGAATTGTCAAAAGCTGTACAACAGTACTGAAGGTATGTTTTTGTGTGAAAATTATTTAGACTGCAGCTTTGCAAGCTACTCACTTGCGGATAAGTGATAGGGGCCAGTTTCTTGTCCTTTAGCTTCTCAATGGTGATTTTGTCCTCTCTCAGATCCAGCTTGGTGCCAACCAGGATGATTGGAGTGTTGGGACAGTGGTGTCTCACCTCCGGGTACCACTGGAACCAACGATATTAAATTGCAGGCGTTTTAGGCCCAAGAGACCGATCCTACCTTGGCGCGGACGTTCTCAAACGATGCCGGATTCACCAGCGAGAAGCATATAAGAAAGACATCGGTCTGGGGGTAGGAGAGCGGCCGCAATCGGTCGTAATCCTCCTGACCTGCCGTATCCCACAGGCCCAAGTTGATGGGCTTTCCGTCCACCATTACATTGGCCGAGTAATTGTCGAATACGGTCGGGATGTACTCGCCTGGAAAGGCGTTTGTTGTGTACGAGATGAGCAGGCATGTTTTACCCACAGCACTGAAACAAACAGTTGAAAGCCTGAAGAATCAGTTGACTAATTGAAATGAAAATATTTCAGCTTTTGGGAATTGCTTCTAATTCTTCCGCAACAGGAAACAATGTCAGGATTAGTCGATTTATTAACAGTGAGTGTTTTCTTCCGGCCCTTTTGTCTCTGCGCAAAAACATCTCGAATGCCACTTGTTGACTCACTAACCCTTAGAAGCCCCACGAAAGTTACCAAGTGAGACAAAACGAACTGTTGCTAACGGGATTCTTGGCCAACTTCACTGGTTCTTAATCAAGCCCAAAAGCGCTTAGTGATAGCGATGTGGGCTTGAAGATTAGGGCCTAATGGCCTGGGCAAAGACTGGTCGAAATCAATGGTTTATCTAGGCAAACGATAAGCCCTAGCATTATCAGCCGAGTTGGGGTCTGGGAATGAATAATGTAGCAATTAGGGCAGGAAGCGCTGATTCACATCTTGCTGACTGTTGCTGCCAGATTGCTGAGCCCTCTGAGCGATTGGTAAACACGAGCTCAGTGGGTGAAAGGCGACGTGTAGCTTGTAGCTGACTTACCCATCGCCCACGACGACACACTTTATGGCCTGCATTTCGGCTGGTCGGACGACTGTTATTGCGACGTGAACAATGAAAAAACACAACTTTTTACACAAAACTTGGGTGTGTGAGGTGTCAAAAGCAAGGCCAATCCAGCAATAAAACGATGGCACCGATCGTACACATAAATCGCCTGGTTTCCACTCGACACTACGGGGCTCGGAGGCTGAATTTGCGTCGTGTGCGCCTACTTAAACCAATTCGGAAATTATAACCATTTATTTTTAGAATGTACGATTGATTCTACCACCCGCGACAGAAAAAATCACCGTGACAAATCGACTGTCAGTGTCAGTAGCTATGTCACTGCCACTGTCATCAGTGGCTGTTGTTGCCAGACTGCACACTTATGAAGCACTTTCAAATTAATTTTCAATAGATTTACTGTTCTAATCAAATATTTACTTCCAGATTCACGGGGGAAACACCCCCTGGATTCTGTTGCTGGAATTTTCCAAACTCTGGACCTTTAAGCAAATGCCCCAATTTGGTTCCGATAGCCCTGAGGAGTGGCGGAGATTTAGGAAACAGCGCTGCAAGCGGCAGCGGCGCAGCATCATTGAAGGAGTATATCTAGTGCGACGCCCGAATGCCAACCAGTCAAGCTTAAAAACACGGTAAGCCGCGCCCCTTTAATTCGCAGTTTTCGAAAATGTCCAACCGAATCAAACCACAGGATTTTGCATAAAATATATTTTGTTGAATAGTATGAAAAAACTAGCTAATTCCCACAATGGGTTTGGGACGAGTCTTAAAAATCAACTTGTGCTTGATAATGCACTGCACCTGGTACTCAGTGTCCCCTCGATCGTTGCGGTTTTTCTCCAAAAGGGCAATAGGCTGCTCCATTTTCACCTCCTTCCCATAGAGCAGATGGTGGCCGATGATGAGCAAAGGCTGACCCTGCTTGGTGTAGTGGAGGTCGCCGATGAATTTGCCCTCAAAGGCCGTCTCGGACTGCGACTTCAAGTCCCCCTGCAGCTCCACTATGCCGTACTTATCCGTGAGGCCTCCGTCCGGTCTGAAAACAAAAGAAAATTACTGATATTTGCCCAAGTTTCTGGGAGTTTTGGTTGAAGGAATGAAAGAAAACCGCTGGGTTTTACTGTACAAACTTTTATAACGAGCTTAACAGTTTTTTTTACAAACTTCTTTTTGGGTATTTCGCCTCAAAAATTGTTGTCTTTCAAAAAGACAGAATTTCCTATGACAAAAAAAATGTTGAAGCAAAATACCCAAAAAGAAGTTTGTAAAAAAATGAATCCGCCTCAACAATATAGAACGTATCTAGAGCTTAACAGTGTTAGTATCGGAATTTTTTGAACAGCGGGTGCTTGTTGGTGTTGGCGGTCTTTCGGAACTCGTAGTAGACGGCGTCGTCCGCCCCTGACATGGACCCCAAGTGGCCAGAGCGGCGATTACCGGGGCCGCCTCGCGGCCCTCCCTCCCCGGGCATTCTTTCGTCTTCGCAGTCGATATCGCTAGCGGCCAGCACCTGAAAAACTCCCATTAGAGGTGAAAATCGCTCGCGACTGTTTCACTCACTTGTTGCAGCAACTGGCCCTGCTCCTCCCTGGTTTTGTACATCATGTCGGGCTCCTTGTCCATCCCCGCCAGCTTGGTGATCACCTTGTAGCTGTACCCCTGGTTGACCAAGAACCGCTGGCGCTTCCTCGAGTAGTTCATTTCCATTGTGTCCTGAAAGTTCCAAAGTTACCCCCGATCGGAATAGGCCAAAGGATTCGCCCCTCACCTGTGAAACCAGGGTGTAGAAGAAGGCGTTGTACTCTTCAGCGATTGCACCTTTTTTCGCTCTCAAAATCCGGCCCAAACGTTGAGCCTCCTGGCGCCTAGAGCCACCATGCGAGGAGATCTGGATCAGAACATTGGCCTCGGGCAGATCAAAGGACGTGTCCGCCACCTTGGACACGAAAATCGTGTTCACTTTGGGGTTGAATTTGAAATTCTGCAGGATTTGAATGCGCTCGCTTTGCGTGGTCGGGCCGTAGATGTAGGGCTTGTTCATTTTGATTGCGTAGTGTTTTAGGGCGAAGACATTGTCGGAGAAGACGATGGTTTTGTCGCCGCGTCGCTCATGGTAGCGGATCAGGTACTGGGTGGCTTGGAACTTCTGCGGGTTCATCACGTAGAGCAGCAGCCGCTTGCTGGTTTTGCACACCAGGTATTCGCGATAGAATTCCGGTGTCATTGGGCACCATACTTCGGCACATTGCACGCGGGCAATAAAGCCCTTTTTCTGCAGCTCCAGCCAGTTAGCTTCATATAGCTTCGGGCCGATCAGGAAGTTCAGGTCGGCAATTTTATCGTCTTCTCTCAACAGGGTGGCAGTGAGCCCCAGCTTGCAGTGCGACTGCACTATCGTCAGCACTCTGCGGAACATTTTGGCTGGGATTGTGTGCACCTGAAACGCAGCTCAGATTTAGAGCGCCCACTTTAGAGTCGCGCTACTCGACTCACCTCGTCCAGCACCATGATGCCCCACTCCTGCTCCTGCAGCCACTTCATCGTCTGCTCAGCCTCCCAGGACCGTTTTTGAGTGTGCGTTATCATAGAATAGGTCGTGACCAGCACGCTGCAGCCCTGCAAAGCTCAGTGCAGCTGATTCGAGAAAAATGCAGCTGCGTCACTTACCATTGGTTTGTCTTTGGCTTCGGAGGTGAATCTGCAGATCATGCTGTCGTCTGCAGTGGACCACATCTTGAACTGTTGTTTCCACTGTTCGACTGAGACCCCGGAATTGCATAGGAGAAGGGCGCGTTTTCGCACTGTGCAACAGGCTGTGACTCCCACCTAGTGGTGTAATGAAGTGCTTTGTGAGTGCGAACCTCTAAGGACTCATTTGTATGACATTTACCAGAGATTTGCCTGCACCACAAGGCAGCACGATAACCCCCGATCGCGCCCTGCCGTTACCAAACATCTTCCTCAGGCTCTTCTCCTGATAGGGCCTCAATACGGCTGACGGTCTCAGATCGATGTTGATGTCCGGGTTTACTGTGTCGTTCCTAAACAGGCGCAATTAGCGTGGTTCTGGGCCAATCAAATTGAGGTTTTACCGGAAGTCGTATTCGGCCAGCAAAGGGTGCTCCAGCTCAATGCACCTCTTCTGAATCACCTCGATTTTCTCCTGATTCACTTCGAAGGAGACGGTTTGGAGGTTGGCCTCGTCTTCCTCGTCCTCATTGTCCATTTTCTCGTAGAAATTGGTGATGTCGTCCGGGACGTTGGTGGCTTCAGCGCCGGCCTCTGTTGAAGGGCCGGGCTTCGCCCCGAATGACGGAATGTTCTTCTTTTCCTGCACCTGAACCCAACCATGAGTGATTAAGGACATTAAACCACCCAAAAGCTCCTACTTGAGTGATCATTTCATCTTCGGCATCGCCCTCCACATTCCTGCGTAATCGGCACTCTTGAATTACCGGGTCTTTGAGCAGCTTTTGCAGAATTTCCGGAAAGGGGCTCTCGACAAAGTACTTGTTGTGCTTCAGCACCAGCTTGACTTTGCCGTAGGACAAGGTGCAGAGCCTTATGAACTCTATGATGCCCTCAGGGACTGTCGTTTTACTGTAAAGCTCCAGAATTAGAGCAGTTTTCCATTCAGGGTTCGCGGCCACTCACCTGAGCCTTTTCAAGTATTCGACAATGTCGTTTGTCTGCAGGCCCACGCTTACGGCAGCATATAAGGAGTAGGCAGTCAGCTTGTACTCGTGAATGTGCTCAGGGCGGCAGACTGGCTCAGAAATCGCTGCAAAAGAGCAGCTGGAGGCCTCAGATCTTTCAGCAGGCGAACAGAGTACATACCGATCAAAAAATCATGTGCGTGCTTGTAAACAGGCGAGAACGACTCGAGGAAAATGTGGCCATTGGGGGCCACCCACAGTGGCCTCGATGCATTGTCGGGCTTCAATTCCATCTGCAGTCTGTAGTCTTTGGCCCCAAATTCATCCTCCTGCACTTTTTCATCGCTTTTCTCCGCATCTCTAGCCGCGGCATTGGGCACTGCCGCTTCTTCTCCGTCTAGTATCAGCAACGAATTTAGGCGGGGCCCTTTGAGGCCTCCATTAGAGGCCCACTTACCTGCGGTGGCCTCTTCCTCATCGGCAGCCCACGTTTCTTCTTCTTCCTTCTTGCGCTTCCTCGAAGCCCTATCCGCTTTGTATCCGGAGCGCTTGGGCGGCCCCATTTTCACTCAGGCACTGAACACACTCGCACTTAAGCCGAAACAACCGAAAACGTTTGCACAATGTTGTGATAGTTTGAGTCTGGAGAATTTAGGTAAATTCTACCGGGGCGAGTGCGCGGGTATTCACAATTGACTTTTTTGACTAAATTGAATTGAATACTTACATTTTAATCACTATAGGCATGACGGTCTTTAAATCAGCAGAACTTGCCATGACCTGTTGTGGCTGGATTGTGGAGGGGTTTGATTATTTTTATAGGTTATTTACTGCCAAAAGTGACAGGAGTGAACGGGGTTGTCGCTTTGCGTTTTTCAGAGGTTTTTTTTTAAATTAGAGCAAAAAGGTGAAATATTTTGATCAGGAGCAAAAGACTTATCTCATGAGTTGAACGCTAATTGCTTTCATTCACTATAATTTCTCTTAAATTTGCAAAACTTGGCAAGTTCAAGAACGCAGCTTTCAAGGAGAGGACCCTCAACAAAAGCTAATTATTCCAAAATTACGCGTCCAGTACTTGCAGGTAATGTTTGGGTACTCAAAATAAATTTCTACCCTGGCTGCAATTAGTATTGGAGAAAGTTAGGGAAGCATTCACGGACGCAGCACAAAATTCAGTGAATTATGGGGGAATATAGGCAACAGCGCCCCAATGTCAACTTTTTATTATGACTTTTCCTGTTCCCTGTCTTCAAAACCGATAATTTCTTATTAAAATATGAATTAGTATGGAATTAGTTCAATAATTCCATTGTGTAGGTGCGGGAAAAGCCCTGTTTGTCCTGATGGATTGACCAGAAACCCGATCAATCACTGTTGACGACTATGTGGAAGAATCGCCTACAGCCCCCTTTGAGTAGTGTGTTTAGTTGGCAAAATGGTTAAAACCAGCCCTAAAAGCAAGTATTTACGCCGATACCGAACGTGTTTTATCATAGGAATAGTGATTTTGTCGCTCCAACTGTTGTTGGTGGCCAATTTCCTTGTTCAGAACAAGAACACTGAGGGCCCTGAGAACTGGGAGCCCTCAGATATTGACAAGGACTCAGGGTCGAATAGCGAAGCCCTGAACTCTGCGAGGCGCAGCGACGATGAGGAAACGAACCTGCTGGCGCCCCAAACGAAGCGGGCAGGCAATGGGAGTATTCAGCTGAAAGTCGAAGACTTGAGCTTCGAGTTGCCGTGCCAGATGGGGGAGAAACAGGCCCTGAGTGCCCTGAATCGAGCCAAATCGCAGCGCTGCAAGCAGCTGATTGCCAACATAACTTGCCTGGCTTTGGAGAATCAGCTTTATCCGACTGAGCTGCGATCAAGCTGCCCCAGTGAACAGTTCGCGGCTGGCAAGGAGATGGGCTGTTTCAAAGACGAGAAGAACTTTCGGCTGTTGAATGGCTACTTTGGGGTCAGCAAAACCGACAACTCGCCGATCTACTGCATGAATTTGTGCCTGCAATCCGGGTTTCCCTATGCAGGGGTTCAGTATGCGTAAGTTAACAGCTTTGCCTAGTAAATTCACGGGTTTTTATTGAGATGATTTCAGGCAGGAGTGCTTTTGCGGCTCTGACGAGCCCCCCTCCGGTTCCAAGCTGCCGGACTCTTCATGCAACATCAAGTGTCCAGGGGATGCACATGCGACCTGCGGGGGGTACTATACGATGAACGTCTACCAGACTGGAATCAAAAGTGCGTTTTTGGGACTGAAACTAAGAGGCGAGTTTAACGGGGTTTTAATGTGTTGCAGGGTTTGTGCCGCAAACTGCCAACGAGACGCTGCAAGCAGTCAAGCAACGGAAAATCGCGTTTCTGCTCACATTGAATGGGAGGGCTTTGCGCCAAGTCCACAGGCTCCTCAAGCTGATTTACCACAGGAATCATTACTACTACATTCACGTGGATGTGGTGAGTCTGGAAAAGTTTACTGGGCGTTTGCAGAATGGCAAACGTTTGGTTTTTAGAGGCAAGATTACCTTTACCGGGAGCTGCTGGCATTGGAACGATTCCCAAACATTCGACTGACCCGTAAACGGTTTGCCACCATATGGGGTGGCGCCTCGCTGCTGGAAATGCTGCGCGCCTGCATGCTGCAGCTGCTGCAAATGCCCGATTGGTCCTGGGACTTCATTCTCAACCTGAGCGAATCGGATTTTCCCGTGAAACCTCTTGGCAAACTGACGCAGTTCCTTAGCGCCAACGCGCAGCGTAATTTTGTGAAATCGCATGGCCGCGAGGTGCAGCGATTCATCCAGAAGCAGGGTCTGGACAAGACGTTCGTGGAGTGCGAGTACCGGATGTGGCGCGTTGGAAACCGGAAGCTGCCGTTGGGCATCCAGATTGATGGTGGGAGCGACTGGGTGGCCTTATCCAGGCCTTTTGTCCAGTACGTTGCCAATCCGGAGCCCGATGAATTGGTTTCCGGTAAGGTCTCGAAACGATGACCTTTGCCTGCTTTCGGTCATTCCAGTTTGCTTCATAGGGCTGTTGAAGGTGTTCCAACACACGCTGTTGCCAGCTGAGAGTTTCTTCCACACGGTGCTGAGGAATTCGAAGTTTTGCCACACGTATGTGGATAACAACCTGCACGTGACCAATTGGAAGCGCAAATTGGGCTGCAAGTGCCAGTACAAACATGTGGTGGACTGGTGCGGATGCAGCCCCAACGACTTCACTCTTGACGATTGGGCAAAGGTTCTCAATACACAATCACGGTAAATTCAAGTGCTTTGTTTTTCTTTTTTTTTATTGTACATACTTTCCTGACTGTGTTTCAACTCCAAATCAAAATTAATTCCTGGGTTTCAGTAATTTATTGTCTCTATTATCAATTAAAATACGTTTCGGTGTATTTTTCCACCATCATCAGTTTTTATGTGTAGCGTTGTTGCTGCTTTAAGCCTTGGCATGCATTTTTTG